TTGTTAGACCTCCTCGGTGTTGTCTTCAATCGCCGATTCGTTTTCGTTTATTTTCCCCGTAAGTACTGACGGTAACTTCAGTTTTCGATCATCATGCCAAATCAGATGGCTTATCAACTAGCACATGCTTTGTGCAAGCATTTGTAGATTTTTTTAAATCCGCCTTAATTGCTCTGGCGCGAATTTCGCGACCATTTTTGTTCACTTGTCTTGTTTTTTTTGTGACGAGTAAGTTATTTGGCGTACAGTTTTACTTATGTTTATTCTTTAGTGCCAAAATGAAGCGTTTTGTGTGGGAATGGAAAATTTTAGTTAACTGAGGCGGGAGAAAGTCCAAAAGTGGAAACTACTGATGATGCACAGCAGCGCCTAGCATGTAGCAAGATTTGAAAAAAAAAAAAAAAACGAATCTAGTTTTTGTGCTGGCTCAGATCATTCTCATGTTTTTTTTTTTCACGGATTTTATTACAATTTACGTTGGCTGGGAGTGTTCCTGTTTGTTTTCAAGTGCATGCGGACATGATCCATGAATTCAACGAGAATTTTCGATTTGTGGCCAAAGTGGGGAGCAGCAGTTCCTCTCGCAGAAACGTGTCGGGCGTCGCGCGTTCTCGAATTTGTAAACACGATTCTCGCATTTGCATATCGGCGCCTAAAGTTGATTTCGTGCGAGTCTTATGCATGCCTGAATAACGTCTCTGAATTGCAGGAATGTGGTGGGACAGAGCAGCACGGTAACGCCGGTCACAACAGCATCCGCACCGACAACGTATCAAACTTCGTCCACATCGGGCGCACTACATTTCTATGCAAATGCAGTTAGTACTGGTGCGACTGCTGCTGCTGCGGCCAGAGGAGGAATTTATTCCACAGTTGCACCACAGCCAACTCATCTCTACTGACCAGCACGCCCATGCGCCGGCTCTCTGTGTTTGTCTTTGTTTTACGATACTACGATGCATGTCGCCGAAACTGAGCTGCGTTTGGGACCCTGCTCATTGTCTTCAGCTTCCCAGATAGCCCTACAAATCCCTGACCGTTTCATCTGTGATAACGGACGAGTGCCGGCGCCTTTTTAGAAGCAAGTCATGGTGCATTTTTGAGGATCTGAGTTTCTGAAAGACAGGCACAAGTTCTGGGAATCTTTGAAGTTCCGATACGCCGGCGCTACATTGTCCGTTAGTTTTCTAAATAATCGTTTAAACATGTGAAATCTTTCGTATTTTTTGTTTAGAGATTCTTACTTTTGTCTATATCAAATAATTGATATGCACTGTTTGAACAGTATCCTTGTATTGTCCGAATACTCCGTCTTCAGTCGCAGTAGACGAGCCTAAAATGCAGCAAATTAAGGTGACGCCAGTGATTATCTAAGTCGCTTCGCATGGCCCATGTGAATTCTCTCCGTGATGCCACATTCCTTTATGCGCTGCCCTGGAGTGACGTTTCCACGCTGCAAATTTTGGTTGCTCCCGAAGAAGTTATTTCTTTGATTTGACGGGCTGGTAATGCTTTTTTTGCCCGAGCGTATTAAAAGCTGCTGCTTGCTGCTCAAGAAATGGTCTTCCGAAGTGAGAACTATTTACTTCTTGCAGTAGTTGTTGCCGACAGTAAAAACGCTCCGTTGCCAGTACCTGACTGGTACTTGTCTGTCCACTCAGAAACTGGCATGTTCGGGCAAGGGGCATCATTGATTAATGGCCGCGCCTTTTTCCTTCAAGCGTGAAAACACTCTGGTCTGTGGCCTGTGTGCAAATACTTTGCGTCGCTTCCGATGAACTGGCGGCAGCCCTAACTATCCTGCTTTCGCACCAGTGTAGAACCAAACCGTCGAAGTGAGTCATCGAAATCCAAAGGAAATGATTTTTTCAACAACAGTCTGAAGTTGCTGTGTGATCGCGGTTTTTGCAAGAAGTCATGGAAAAAGCAAAACAGGGTATGTTGGAAGTGTGCGTGGTGACCGCGCATTGTGCCGTAAAATTGAACAGCATGCCAAGGAATGGCTGTGGTGAGGCCTAATGCACTTGAACTGTGAGTGCCGCCACACGCAAATGCATTATCCTGTCGTCACCTTCTTTTTTCAAATTAACGTAACTGTGATTGTTCAGCTTACCTGCCATAAGTTTTGTTTGAGCCTGAAACAACGGGGTGAAATGGCCTGAAGTTTGTGAGTGCGTTTTCCTGGGTTGTCCCTTTCTCCTTTTCTTCCTTTCCTACCGCGTCTCTGCTCGGTTCCT